GCGCCCGCACACTCGGGGCGGCGGTCCCCGGGGGCGCGCGCGGGCGTCCGGGCCCACCCGCCGAGACGGAGGGTGTGCCCCTCCGCCTGCCGAGGGGACCGCAGCGTCAGTCCACCCGCTCGCTCGCGGCCTCTGAGGTAGAGGGGCGCGCGCGGCGGTCGAGGATCCACACAAAAGGCGCGGAGCTCCACAGTCCGCGCCTCCGGGAGGGCTGGCTCCGAGGCGCTGGGGGCGGGGCCTCGAGGGGGCGGAGCTCCGCGGGCAGTGCAGGGTCTCCGCGCGGAGCGGGGAGGTGAGTCAGCGGAGGGGGCGGAGCTCCGAGGGAAAGCCAGGGCCCCTGGGCGGGATGTGGGTGGGGTCAGGGCGGGGGTCTCTGGAAAGGGCGTGGCTTCGAGGGATGCTCGAACTTAATTTGCAAGGAATTTTGTTGTGGGCGTGGTATGGGCGTGGCCTGGAGGCCTTGCGAAATTCGAAGGCAAGTGGAAGAGAGGTGGGCTCCAGAAGGGGCGGGGCGACACGTGGAGCAACTCGGCCCCTCCCTGCGCGCTCACTGAGGATCGCGTGGGCAGCCGCATCTGCAGGCAGTACTAGGACCACAAGGGTGCTGCTATGCACCTGGGCCGCGGGTACCCTGTGTACTCTGATCTAAATGATACCGGGGCCCTCCCCACCCCCGCGACTTTCCTGGGGACCCCAGGTGAGGACCAGCGTTGCCACCTGGAGCCCGGAGCTGAGCATCGTCCTAGCGGGGTCTACTCTGGGTCTCTATGTTCCGTCCAGTGCTCCCTCAAGGTGCAAGTCCTCACCGTCTGCACCTTCCTCCTCTTACGTGTGGCGCCCCAGATGTCAAAACGTGAAAGGGTGCTTTGGCCTCCCAGCCCTCAGACTAGTTCCCGGGGGTGTGGCTTTTCCACCATCATTTGTCCTTCTCTTCCCGGAGCCTAGCGTGGTCTCTGCACGGAAGAGCCTTTGGCTCCTTGAGCTTGCTGCAGTGGACGGGCCCCCACACCTGGAGGCTTGCAAGAGCTCTGGAGAGGCAGTGCTAGCCCTGGTCGGCGCGGGTCAAAGTCCTGTGCAGAGACGGAGGTCTCTTCCTTCTCGCTCTGGCTTCTCTGTGCTCTTCCATCACGTGGTTCGCTCTGCTCTCCGCAGGGGCTTTGTTACTGTCCTGTCACTGGAAGGTTCCTAGGGAAGTGTTTGTGTGCATCTGCCATAAACACTGACGCTCAAGGCGAGAGGCACGCTGGCCTTGTAGGTCTTTCTGCTAACCCCTGAAAATCTGGCTAGATGGGCAGGGCGAGAAAGGTAATAGTCCTTAGAGAGGGTCATAGCTTGGCCTGGCGTGGTGGCACACTGTGGGGGCCACCATGCCAGGTGATTACTGTGCGTTTGAGGCCAACCTGGGCTACACAGCGAGTTCAAGTCCAGTCTACAACACATAGTAGGACATTGTCTCCAGTGTCACATCTAATCTCTTTTGTTCAGGGGTGAAATTAAGATCCAAACAAATCCCACAGAGACCAGGAAGAGATAGATGGATGTGCATTTTTTACAGATTTGCAGTCCCTGGAAGTGTCCGTGTTTCTTGAAGTTTTTCCCAGCTTTCTTAGCTTTTATAGCTAAGGAATCAACCCCACTACCGTGGTTTGAATGTCCCCTTGAAATTTAATTGCTTGTGGCAGTTTCAAGAGACAGCACTTAAGAGATGATTAGGTCGTACAGCCTGCCCTCCTGAATGGAATAAGGATGTTATCGGAGGAGTGGGTTAGTTATTTGCAGGTGGGATCCTGGTAAAAGGATAAATCTGGCCCATTTTTCTCTGCATTGCAGGTGCTTCTTTGTCACACCTTTGGTCACAATATGGCACAGCACAGAGACCCCTGCCAGATGCCAGTATGGTACCCTCATGCTTCCCAGCCTCCAGAACCAAGAAACAAATTTCTTTATGCCATCGAATCATTATTTTGTAGCAGTACAAACATGCATGGATGATCTTCATTACTTAATACGTGTGAAATCCAACTTTACTCACCACAAATAATTAACAGAAATGGTGGCTTTTGATGATTCACTGATGAACCCATTTCTGCTTTATATTAACGAGCATGAGTGGATTGTCAGCTCCTGTGAGGTTCTGAAGCAAAGTGTGCCTAGACAACAGTAGATGTCTCGGGGACTCATAGACTGCCTGTCACCCCACATCCTCTTTCATTCACGCCATTAACCTGCCATTCAACACCTCTCCCCTGCTGCCTTTCTCCTGGGACCTCAGCTCACCCTCCCACAGGACTGAAGTGTCCATTCCCGTCTGTTTCAAGACACTCACCATCCTCTGGTGGGATTAACTTTTTACGTGCTGGCACCCCACTACCCTGGGAAATCGTAAGCCCAGCAAGTGTATCTCATTCCTCTTTACACACCGCTCCTGCTGCATGGGACAGCAGCACAAGCCGGAAGCAATCCATGTGAGCATTGTCATCCTAGCCTGAGCAGTGCCCAGGAGGGTTGGGGCCCACCTGTCCCTGTTTGCAGGCATTCCTGTTCGCTGGAGCCCTTGCTTTTGTTCTGCTGCCATCTGGCAGGAAACACAAATTACTTCCACCCATCTTGCCTTCCACAACTTGAGGACAGCCTGTGGTTCTTTCTTACTCTACCTATTTGGAGCTCCTCAGCTCCAAACACGATTCTCTTAAGATTATGGTCCACTAGCTTGAAGATGTGGGGGATGCTTATTGGACGATGGTTCTGCAGTCATATGGAGGTCTAGCTTACTGATGGGGTGATTTAAAGACCTGGATGCACCAAGGGAAGCTTGACCAGGGGGTGCTTGGTCACCTGCTCTGGAGAAGGGAATTTCTTGACACCATTGTTGGCAAGGAGGGAAGGAGAACTGAACAGGAGGAGCTGTCTTGCTGCCCATTACTGCCTTGGAGGCTGACACCAGTGGAACTCACACCTTCAACAGCTGGGAGGCCTCTGGACATATTAGGGAACTTAGGGAGACTAAGGGCTGCAATGTCCTCATACTGTGAGGCAGAAGCACTATGTGGTTTTTTGTTTTTGTTTTTGTTTTTTTGCTCCGAATGCCTTCAAGGCATGACTGGCTGGCTTGAGTAGTGGGGATTGAACCACAGCAACCTGAGCCTGACGGCTTTGTTGAAGCAGCCACTTAAAGAGCTGAGCTAAGGGGCAGGCCCCCCTGAGCTAAGGGGCAGGCCCCCAGACAGAAGCACTATGAAGCAGGGTTCTTTTGTTGGATACTAATCACAAATAGGCAAAGTGCTGCTCCCTTCTAGTGTTAAGTAGCCCTGAGCCTTGAGTGACAGCAACTTCCTATCCTTAATGTTATCAGCTCTTCCCACTGCCCTTCTAGCAGCTGGAGCTAACATTAGTGTTCCGTGAGCTCACAGTCCTTGGCATTACCAGCTCAGTACCACAAATTCAGCCTGCTCTGCTGGAGAGAGAAATCACACCCAGAGAGCCTTTGTGAGGACTCATGCTGTAGTGCAGGTCAAGCAGTGAATGAATTCAAACTTACTGCGCTGACATGAGGGGGTCAAGCAATGCTGCTCCACTGGAGATGAGAGGGCATGCCCGCACACAGTCTCTGGCCCTGACCACAGACTTTCTGCATTGCCATGCCTATCGGTGCGGGTGTCCTTAGTCACCTGTCCTGGCTGCCACAGGCAAACAATATGCATCTCCTGGACAAGGGTGGAGCCAGCTGGAACAGCTGTAGAGTGACAGAGTTGCCCAGAAGGCAGTGGGGCTGAGTGCTCAGTGGGTGTGTGGAGCTGCCCGAGCAGCGGTTGCCTGGCTGTACTCCAGGGTGGTGGCTGTATCTGAGCAGCCAGGCCACCGTAGTCTGCTCCTGCCAACCCAGAAAGCTTCCAAGATGGAAAGAAGAGAGAAAGGGAGAGACTGGGTCGTGTGGGGGCCTCTTGGGTGGGTGAAAGGGGGCCACTTGGGAGGGCCAGACCCCTCTGTTGCATTTTAGGAGATGTTGTGTCTAAAAGGGGGAATATTAATTAAAGACATCGAGAGAAACAGAGACACCTTGCACCAGAAATCTGAGTATAAAATATAAGTCTTGGGGTTAAAAATAAATTGTTTTAGGCCAGGGATTTAGCTCAGTGGCTCAATGCCCAGCTGGCAAGCATGAGGTCCTGAATCTGATTCCTGCTACCAAAACAAACAAACACTGCTTCCAATTTTTAAAATATCAGAAGTAGCATAAAACAGAAAAGACATTGGTCTAGATTAAAGACTGGCTTATTTCTCTGCATAGGTCCAGTTAGTGAATATTTTCGCTTCTCTGGCAGGCCATTTGGTCTCTGTCGCCTCTGTACTTGGCCTTATGGCTTCAAGGCAGCCAGTGACGCTAAATAAACACATATATGTGACTGCGCTCCAATCCAGCTGCACACGCAGGAACAGGAACCAGACCGGCTTTGACGCAGTCAGTTGCGCCAGCAAGTCTGTTAGAGTTTTCAGTGAGAGGCATGTGTGCCGTAGGTCCAACAGCACTGAACTAGAAGATAAAATGAAAAACAGAACTCCACAGTGTGGCGGGAAAAAAAGAAAACTGGGAATTATCACTGATACCATAGACCCGTGAAGGATCTCATCAAGAGATCTGACTTCTCAATAACAGGAATTCCAGAAAAGATGAGGAGAAGCCGTAATTGAGGACACAATAGATTTTTTAGATTGAAAGAGTTCATCAAACTGAATGGTTCCCTCTAAGATCCGGAACAAGATAAGGTTGTCTACCATCACGACACTCTTCTTATTGTTTTGGAGGTTCTACTCAGAGCCATTAGGTGAGAAAAAGAAGTCATGCCTATCCAGGCACTGGGGTAATCTCAGCTACTTGGGAGGTGAAGGCAGGAGGGTCAAAAGGCCAAGGCCAGTCTGTGCAGCTTAGTAAGATCCTGCCTGAAAGAACAAAAAGTCATTAAAAGGTGTGGGGGGGGGGGCTAGGGATATAGCTCAATGGTAGCATGTCTCTGGGGACATAACCTCAGGGGTAATTGAGAGTAAAATAATCACAAGAGAATATTTTTGCATTTTATTTCACTAAACTTGAGCACCTACATGGGATGGATGATTTTAATAAAGATCAAATGCAATGGTCCATGGCATGGAAGGCCAAGGCGGCAGGGCAGCCATGGTGGGGCGTGGGGGCAGCCGGCCACCTTGGTGCGTCCTGGACACGGCTTCTGGTGGGTGAGGCTCACTCTGGCACTGGGCGAGAAGCTGCCAAGTAGATGCCACAAGCCTAGCCGTGTAACCCAGGGCAGGCCCTCACCCCCACTGGGCTCTAGCTCCTTGGGGCAGCTGGAGCTGGCCAAGTTGAGGGGAGGATGAGCCCGGGCCAGAGTTCCTAGGTGGCCTCTGTCCTTGCCTCTTCCGCCGGAGTAGCCACGTTCTCAGCCACATCACAGAGTGGGTTTTCCTGGAGGATTATACGTGAAGAAGGCTTTGCTGCTGGTGTTAGGGCTCTGCAGCCCACAGAGAGCTGAGAGGAGGAGGTTTCTCCTCGAGGTTAGTGCGGCGGTGATGGAGCTCTGTAGCCCTTGGGCAGCTGTCTGGGAGCCGCAGGCCCAGGAAGGAGGGCTGAGGCTGCTGCCCACACCCAAAGGCCCGCAAATCAGGAGTGCTGAAGAGGAGCACCCCAGCTCCCGAGCTGAGAGCACACTTTGTGTCTCCCGCTCCTACTGCTCTGCTCCTTTCCTCTTCCTCCTCTGCTCCCCTGGCTCCCTTCGGGGAGCTATATCCCATCCCCTTTCAATTTTTTAATTTTGAGGCAGGGTCTTGATCAGTCCCCACAGACACCTGGGGAGTCTTGTTTCACCGGCTTCTGGGAGCTGCTGGTCGTCACCTAAAGCTCACCACGCTTGTGTGGAGGCAGACCCTGGAAGCCAGGTGATCCTCCAGCCCCAGGTTACCTCCTGCTCTGACCTGGCTGGATTTCCCCTGCCAGAGGTCATTGTTTTGGCTCTGATGCCTTCTAGTTCCTTAAAATTTTAAAGTTGTTCATAATTACACCCTCAAGTGGAGGCAGATGTGCACACGCACGTGTGTGCGTGTTGTGCTGCTTTCACAAAACTGCTGCTTGATTTGGAACATAATTTAGACTTGCTTTTTCTGAATGACCTAGAACCAGCGAGGGTGTGGGACCAGTGGGGCCGCGAGGCAGGCAGGCAGCTTCCTGGCACATGCCCGGCTTTCTCCTTTGAGAACGAAAAGGTTTACAGCCTTTAGGTAAAAATAACTTTGTGCAGCTTCCGCCAGGAAGACACTTAAAAAGGAAGAGAGGAATCATTTGCTAAAAATGAAAAGCCTACCAATTGCTACCATAATTTCGGAATTCATTTTTGCAAAACGTATCAGAAGACATCAAGATGTTCTTGCCCAATTACTCAGTAATTTCACTTTTCAGCATTTGCCTAGGAGAAATAAATTGAACTAAAACAAAAGCCCAGCAGACAGAGGTGTTTGTTGCTACCTGCTTTGCTGTGAAAGACACTGGAGGCAGGAGAGTGTCAGGGTTGGGGCATGAGGCAGAACAAGCCCGGTGCTTACTTGCTGGCACTTGCGGGCAACCTGTGGGCGGTGGGCACTGAGCTAAGTGCTGGAGCAATGGAGGGGCTAGGGGCCAGAGCGTGCACCTGCTAAGGGCAACTCAGCTGGATAAGGGGAGCTCACTAGTCATGGGGACACAGAGGTGGGCCGAAGTGGACTTGGCACTCAGGGAAGGCATCCTGGAGGCAGTGACTTTTAAGCTGAGTTACAAATGTTATGACTGGTGGCCGGCCAGAAGCAAAGGCCTGAGGACTTCTGGGCAGAGCGTGTAAAACAGACAGGATGGCCATACAGCACACTGCGTGTGGGGACGGAGCCAAGTGAGAGGTGATGCTGAAGAAGAGCCCAGAGCCCTGGGCCGGCTCTTGATGGCCAGCTTCCCTTAGCACCTCCTAAGATGGTGTAATGGATGCTCATCCTGTGCCAATGCTCAGAGCGTGAGAAGTGAAAGTGTCCTATGTTCTAGATTTGCTGGGTAAGCTGCCTTCAAATCTTTACACTATGTCCTGGTCACTTTTCTTGTCTCTGGGACGCAATGTCCAGCACCTGCAACCTAGAGAAGAGGTTTACTTTAGCTCACATTTCATGACCAGCTGGCTCCAAAGGAAAACACCATGGTAGAGGAGTGCGGGGAGGAAAGGCTGCTTCCCTCCTGGCCAAGAGGAAGCAGAGCAAAGGGCAGCACAGGGTAGAGATGCGAACCTTCCCGGCCGTGCACACAGGTATGCCTCTTCCAGGCAGCCCCCAGCGGTGGACACCGAGGCAGTTCTGAACCCCCACGACTCAGCCACCTTCTACAAGCCCTGCCTATAAGCACGCTAGACTCCTGCGGACTTCTGGGTATATACCATGCTGCTGTGTACTAGACGGGTGGGGCATGTAGCTCTCTCTGAATTAAATGGTCTCTCTGTAGCCAGCCTGGGAAGGCTAGTGTAGAACATGGCTGGCGAGATCAGGGATTTATACCCGAGTTTATACACTGGCCAGGAACCAGTGCCGCCAGCTGGCTGGTGACCTGGAGCAAGCTCCTCTATCTCTCTAGACCCCACTTCTTCCTTGTTGAAAGGGCCCAGCTGACCCTGCCTCTCAAGGCCGTGGTGCAGAGGAAATGGCAATGTCCAATGTGGTAAGGAAGTGGGACCCTGGGCACTGGTGTGTGCTGCTGGTACCTGGCTGGAGAGTAACGTGGCAGTGTTACTGTCTGCCCTAAAGAATAGCTAATCCCAAGCCTAGGAAAGATCCCAGAAAATCCCATACAGAAATAGTCATGGCAGCACCATGGACAAGAGCAGATGCTCATTTGCTCAGGGTAAAGGTCCAGGGCATGTGGCTTGGCAAGGAAGCACAGCCATGCCACACAGCAGTTACAACAGGGCCTTCCTAGGGACTCCACAAACCCCTTCATGTTAGAGGCCTAAAGGTTGGGAATTGGAAATTTTAACGATTATTGCAAGAAGGGGGGTCTTAGGAGGAAGCTAGGTCATTGATGCCAACTCTTCCTCTCAGGCACCCTAAAACTAGTGACCTGGGCCTTCTAGAATTAATTAGTGGCAAGAGACACCCAGAGAGGGCTGAAGGGACTGATCCCAGCTGGGGTGGGGCATAGGAGGCACAAATGTTTCTTTGGCCTGGATGTGAGTTCCCAAGCAAGACAGCCAGGGTGTCCATCTCATCCTACTGGACAGGGCCACTTGGTGGGGCAGGGGAGACCACACTAGGGCTACCTCCCTGTGCTTGGGGGCTGCAGCGGAAGAAAGGAACTCCTGGGTGCAGGGAACTGCAGGTGAGAGGCCATCAGCAACGTCGAGGTCCTCCAAGAACCCTTGAAAGCTGTCTGAGCAGACCCAGGGGAAACACTTGCCACACACAGAGAATGGAGACCAGTCTTTCCCTATCCACACCACGACTGCTGTGGGCAGAACCAGATTTGGTAAATTGGAGAGGAGGTTGTACTCTGCATCGCTGCCACCAGGGGGCGCATGTGTAGACAGGAACAAGGGCTGTCTGGGATGGGAAGAAGGAAGCTGTAGGCAGACCCCGTCTCAGTTTGAGATTTACCTAGAGAGCATCTTGTGGACGCCAAGGCACCTACCTTTGTCCTAAGCCTAAATAACCATGTTTGTCTTTTAACTCATTCAGTGTCAGCTCAGGAAAGAACTACGTTCACCAGCCCCTAACTCTAACCCTCCCTCCACCTCCTGACGCCGGGCGCAGGTGGCCGAGGACGGTTCTGTGTGTCCCACCTCTTCCCCCGGCTTCCTAGCTCCAGGGTGGGGTGACCTCGTGACCCATCTTTGCTGCAACGTTCAGAGGCGGTGTTGGAGTACCCCATTATGCCTGCAGGGTGCTGGAATTCCTGCCAGGGAGGGCTGGTGTTAGTGAGGGTGTAGGCTTCTTCTCATTCATTCACTCATTCATTCACTCATTCATGTTGGTATAGGGTCTTGCTATGCAGTTCAGACTCGTAGTGATCATCCTGTTTCAGCCTCCCCAGAGCTGGGATTACAGGCTTGCACCTGGGGTTCTGGGGCTGGCACGGCTTGCAGTACTGGGGATCAAACCCCAGTCTTTGCACTTGCCAGGCAGGCGCTTAAACCGCCGAGCTATCTCCCCAGCCAGCCTGGTGCAGGCTTCTGAGTCACTACTGTGTGCCTGTCAGCTGGGTGACCCAGGAGGGAAGGTGCCTCCTGAGGGGAGGGGCTGGGAGGAGCCCAGGGCTCAGGACGGGGCTGAGTAGTTAGCTCCAGGAGGAGCTGGGACACCCTGGGCAGCCAGCAGAAAGGGCAGGGTCAGGGTTAGAAGGGGTAGGACACGGAGAAGGGCTCAGAGCTGAGGCCGCACCTCATACCTTCTGGGCAGGCAGGTGGGCCAGGTGGTTCACCTTTGGTCATTGTGCCGTCTGCCAGCCGTGATGCTGTCACAGTGGCTCCGTACTCTCCCTAGACTGATGCGTGCAAGTGTGAAATGACATGGGAGCTTGGAAATGGTTAAAATATGCCAGTCCGCCCGAATTCTAGGGAGACAAGGAAGCAAGATGATTTTCTCATTTTTCTTTTCTTTCTTTCTTTCTTTCTTTTTTTTTTTTTTTTTGTATTTTAGGGAAGGCTCCACAGGGTGTTCAGGGTCTCACTATTAGATTGGACTAGTAGTGATCCGCCTGTTTACAGCCTCCCAAGAGCTGGGATTACAGGTGTGCCCTACCACACCCAGTCTCAATTGCCATCTCAGCACACCCCGGGGGCAGGGCCAGCAAGACAGCCCTGGAGATTGAACCTTCAGCCCCTGCAACTGCTTGCAGGCACTTTAGTCCGCTGAGCTATTTGGATAGCCCAAGATTTTCTAAATATGGTGGGGGAGGTTGGGAGTCTCTGTTTCTGTGATGTTTGACATTTTCTGTGAAGTTAAAGCAGGAGAAAATCTGCAGGAAGAATGGGCTCAGAATCATTCTCCGCCTTGTTAAAGTGCCTGTTTTGGGATCTGCAGTCACCAAACAGCCACTCCCCTGCTGTACATTGGACAGGTCCCTGTAAGAGGCCCACAGGGCCCGCAAGCCGTTTCTTTTGTGAGCCTTGATGTAAGCTGTTTTTGCAACCAGCCTGTTCAGCAGATCACAGAAGGAAAGTCTAGGGGACGCAACATATGACCTGCAGTGACCCTAGAGGGCTCCTGCCCCAGCTTTTCCCCCTATCCAGGGCCAAGTGGCACTGTGCACAGTGGGAACCCCAGACAGCAAGGTCTGGAATTCAGCGAACACCCACCTTCCCCAGCTCCTACCAGCTTCCTACCAGGAAACTCCCTTCGCATCCTCACCACTGCCTCCCTGGGCTCCCAGAGGCCCCACAGAGCCTCAGCCTTCCCCACCCAGTGCTCTGGCCCAGATCTATTCTGCCAAGGCTGTGGAAAGCCGCTTGCCAAAGGTAGTGCCCTGCAGCGGGGCCATCAGAGGCTGCACAGCCAGCCTGTGCTATGGACATGGGCCCTCCCTGCAGCTGCCCTTGAATTTTGGGGCCTCTGGCTGGGGGTCCCTCTCTTGCTTACTTGCTCTGGACAACACCCTGCCATTGTAACAGGAGTCAGTGAAACACAAGTTAGGGTTTTATTAGGTATTAATGACAGCAGCCCCAAAATGGAGCTGGGGTATGTGGAGCTGTGACTCTAGGGGTCTTATAACACATCAGCATGGGGCTGGTAGCTGTCGGGGACTTCCCCAGAGCGGACCAGACAGCCACTGGCTCGAGGGCACGGGGGCACTGCACAGACCTGGGGAGTATGCTGCCCTAGGCAACATATGGCTTCCCATCGGGTGGAGGGCTCCCTCCTAAGCCTTCCTGTCAGGACCCTCCCTTCACCCTCTCCAGGCCTGTGCTTGCCCTGCCCTCTGTCCACAGTCTCCTTTACCATCATATGACAGGACTCCAGTGTTCTGGCATCACCATCCCGAACACACCTGGCCTTCCATCGTGGGCCTCCTGAAGAGTCTACAGTGGGGGCCAGCTCCAGGGGCACCTCCCCTCCCCCAGCCTGTCCTAGCCCACACCATGCCCACCTGGCTGCTGTCAGAGCCCTCTCAGCCCACAGCAGAGCCTCTGACTGGAGAGCATCAGGCTCCCCTGCCCAATCCAATCTGCCACCAGGTCCCTCTGGTGCCACCTTGAAATCTTATGGATGAAGCTTCCATCCCAGCCCAGGCTGCTCTCACACATACTCCACCACACCCGCCCATCATGTAACACCTCCCTTCATGCTCTTTGGTTAGAAGACCTTCCAAAGCACCACCACCCCTCCCTGCACCAGCACAGGGCTTCCTCTGGTCCGAGGGTATAGGCAAAGCCCTCTCCATGCCCTGCCAGATTCGCCCGGCTGCCTGTGCAGGCTTGTGTACCCTCAAAGGTTCTGCCAGTATTGGCCTTGCCACGGGGCCCCTCCCCACTCTGCCCAGGTCCCCCCTCTTCTCTCTGCACCTTGGGGAAGCTTCCTGGAGCCCCCAGGCTCACTCCCTGCACTGCCCTTAGCACAGGTGCCATTTCACATGCGACAGTACCGCTGCCCTGACTACATCTGCGTCCTGCCAGCCACCACTGAGCCTCTGAGCATGGTGGTCTGGTTCTGCCCATGCTGGGGACCTACTTGTAAAGATGAGTTTGGAAACAGTGCTCTTCTTGGGGAAGTCATTTCCTCCAGGGGCTTCAGCTTCTCTGCTCCCCAGGGAGGCAGTGAACGGCCAGCTTCCCACACACCACAACATAAATGCCAGGTAGCTCCTGGCCTGACCTGGTGGCAGCCCCCTCCACGCTAACCTCCCAGGCTGCAGCAGACTGGCAAAAGGCCCAGCCCTCTAAGGGCCCAGAGTGACCACACAAGCAGAGACGTCCCTGGAGGCTCCTTAACCTCAGCAGCTAGCCATCCAGCCTGCCTACCTGCCCACGGCTCCCCCGCAGGTGACCTCTTTCCAGCTGCCTCGCACCCCGGCTTCTCCTTCCCGGGGTGCCAAGGCTGTTTTAAGGCAGAGATAATTTCGGGCACCCATGTGGCTCCTGCTGTGGCCAGAAGCCTGCTGGGCTCCCAGACTCCATATGGTGGCTGTGGATCCTGGAGAGACGGAAATAGGCGTCCGGAGGCAGCGATCTTAACCACACGGCGAGCTGCAGTCTGGAAGCAGACAGGGCCAGTGGCGCGTGTGGGAGCGCAGGCTCAGGCACAGGCCTGGGGGCTAGGCCTGGCCGAGGAGATCCGGTGTTTCCTGTGTGCTCCACCTGACCACAGCAGGATGGCCACGACCACAAACTTCAGCAGGACTAAATTTAAAGAGCCCCTGGAGCATTCCCCCCCCCCCCCAGTGGCAATTTTCTTTTGCTAACAAACTTAGCTGTTATACTAAAAAAAAGCAGTGTTAAGGGCCTCGTCCTATGTGTCAAGGGAAGGCAGGCGGATGTCGCCACAGGCTGCTGGCAGGGAACCAGCCACGTGAGCCAGCAGCTGTCCCTTTCCACAAAGTCCCCCCCCCCTTGCTTGCCTGAGGTGCTGAGCAAGCCCTGCTCGCCCTGTTAATGAGACAGTGAGTAAATAGTGTTCTCAAGGTACTGCAGGACCACCAAGGGATAGGTCTAGCTTCACAGTTCCTATAGCCCATAGACATACAAGTGTTAGAGCCACTGTTACGGTTTACACCTAGCTGTCCCCCAGAGCCTCAGGAGCTCGTAGGCAGAGCTTCTGAGGGGAACTGAATGACGGGGCTTAGAGCTCACATGCTTTTAGGAGGAGGGCTGGATGCTGCTCCTGGGGGCACCTGTTGGAAGGGTCCGTTCCCCTTGCGCTCTGCTTCCTGTGCACCCTGCCAAGGGCAGGTCCTCTAACGCCCCTGTGGCAGCTGTCCTGCCTCAGAGTCAGCTGACCATGGGCTGTAATCCTGAGTCAGATAAAGCTTTCCTCCTTTACTTCGGGGGTGTGGGGTCAGATTCAGTGAGGAAAGTGACCAAGACAATTATCTTTGTGATTAATGAAATATAAAGCAGCACATATAATGGCATCTAAACACACAAAATAGTGGCATCTGTGTGTATCTACAGACTGATCTTTTTTACTTACAAGTCACTAATGGATCCCTTTACCTTTCCTGGTATCTAATTATTTCTTCAATTACTAACTTAAAGTGGCAGTTTTGCCAGTATCTCTACAAGCAAGGAACTGGCCTAAGTTCTTTAGCATTACCTTGTTTGGAGAACACAGCCAACCACATGAGTAGTACAGTTCCATGTGCAAATAAACCAGGTGGGAAAAAAACTCTGAATATGAGACAGAATATAGGGTGACTCATATCTAATTTTAAATATTTTAATTTATATGCTTTCAGGAATATAGGGCAATAAGAAATCCACTTTGCAAATTTTATTTCATTATAGAATACATCTGATAAGGATACATAGGAACAGGTTCATCTCTGAACACGCACCACCTGCCGGTGCCCTGCACTCCCCAGCAGGCTAGAGATGTCACGAGAAGCGCCTCCAAGTGTCGCGTGTAATCAGCCATCCTAAACAATCGGTGCTGTAGAGTCTAGAAAAGTGAATTCACCCACCTGCTTAGAACGAGTAAAAATCTTAATATTTGTTCTGAAGTCTGTTTATTACTCTTCTATTAAAAATCCGAGATATATTCCCCAATGTAAACAATAAATTTCAGTCTGTCACACAATGGATAAGGCTTTCTTGACAAGTGTACGCCACCTACTCCTACCCATCAGAACACAGTCTTATTTCACACTGTCCCGAGTCGAGAAGCTGGAGCCGTTGGAGCCCTCTGCCCTCCGCAGGTACACCAAACAGATTTCTTCTCCACGTGGTCTACTTGGTCGTAGAATACAAATGTACAATGTCCATAGCGTAAAACAGTAAATCCTGGCCTTAAGAGTTGGCTACTAGCCGCTAACACCCTCTACAAGTACAATACCATGTCACGTCATGAATACAGAGGAGGTGGCTCCATGTCTTGCTGTTCATCACTGCAAGCGGCACAGGTGGCTTGTGTCTGAGGCGGCGGGGCAGCGTGGCCAGAATCGGAAGCGCCTGTCCACCTGACTGCAACGGTCAGACTCATCCGCTGACACAAGAAGAAAGCGACCCTGGCCTGCCGCCTCCCGGAAGGACAGTTTCACGAAATCCTAGAAAATCGAACCACAGGAAGTCTCGCGTTTGCAGTGCCTGACTCAGCCGTCTGAGTCAGTTATTCATTCTCTTCTCGGTGCTTTACTCGGTGCTTTATCCTTATAGGACCCTTAGTCAAAGCGATCACGGTTCAGTCCCTCACATTTATCATAAATATCTGACTTAGCAAGCTAGATGGTGAAACAGTGAAGACTACATACGGTATCTTAAAAGGCATTCTGTGACCATTTTTGAAGAGTTCATAGAAAAGTTGCTAAGCATACACCAGTCCCTTCTGTCGATGCCACTGTCATGTGAACCCGGGGACCTGCCCTATCCCACCTACGCTGCTTTATCTATTGTACAACGGAAGCGGAAACACAGCTGCTGATCCGGTGTGACACCTGCTGACTCCCTAAGCTAAGGTAACCGGTAGAGGGATAGTTTTCCTGAGGTTTGTAAGAATTTTTAGTCAAAACAGAAATCACAGTGACCAAGTGGAACGCCAATCTGTCTTCTTGAGTGCGACCTGCTCCCCGGCTTGGGCGGTGCTAAATGACCCGCCACTGCATGATACTGGTATCCTTTCCACCGGTGGAGATGAGGTGGCTGTCTTCACACAGGAAGTCGACATTGGTGACATGGCTGCTGTGACCGCTGTAGATGTGGCTTGGTGCCTGGGAAGGAGGACAGGGAGGGACCCTTACTCACAGCCAAACAGGACTTGGCCCCCCTGCTCAGAAGCTCTCTGCTGTGTAGGACGTGGAAGGGCAGCAGATCCCAGGGGTGCCTTTGGGGGTGGAGGGGTCAGGAAGAGTGGGACCAAGAAGCTGCTGGGGCTGAGTTGGGGTCTCTTCCCTGGAGGCTCAGGCTCAGGGAGGACAGGAAGGGGTGCCAGGCTTGGGTGGCCTGTTTGGCGGGGCTGCATCAGAGAAAGCCATGGGGTAGGGAGGCCACAGCCATTCACATACACCTGAAGGGCTCTGTAGGGTGTGCCAGGGTTGGTTTGGGTTCTCTGAGGGAAGTGGAGCCCCAGAAGTGCCCAGGGCTGTGGGTTAGCAGGGTGCTAGCTACACTAGTGGACCACTGCTATTCAGTATCCACTCATATCCACAGCCGTCCACACAAGGGCTAAGGTTAACAGGAGACAAGTTCTGTACCCTGAACTGGGAGCAGGGGTAAGAGAAGAGGTGCACTTTGCCGAAGTCATCGCCTGTCGACAGGAGCTTTTTCTCATGGGCCCGACAGACAGCGTTGATATCGGTTCCATCGGAGCCTTCTGGCCACACTCCTAAACAGACCACAAACAGTACTGCTGATCCGGAGACCTGGGCCATGCTGTGGGCACAGGAGCTAGGCTCTGGGCTCCCCAGAAGACAGAACCACCTGCGCCCAGGCTTGGGAATGAGGGACGAACAAGTGCCCACTCTATGCTTGGGCCTTTCCTGTGCCTCCTTTCAGCTCAGTCTGCCTGATTTTAGGAAATGCTGCCAGGGGTGCGTTGCCCTGCTTTAGTGGATGGGGCCACAAGGACACACTTTCAGGGTGGCCCGCTCTTTGGGGGCCCTAAGTCTGCATGCGCTTTCAGGTGTTTCTTGGCCCAGCTGCGGGGCTACTGCTGCTGCTGTAGCAGGTGTGCCTGAGGCTGCCACCCACTGGCTGGGCCTGGGGGTACATCTCCTGACCATGGCTCTGGGAAACCTGTCCCGGTCACTGTGCACATGTGAGCTGGCTTGGACCTAGCGGCTCTTCCCATTTGACACCAGGAAAGGGTCACACCCCTGCGCTAAGGAGATTGGTGAGTTGTGTCATTCACAAAAAGATGATGGAGAGAGACTTTTCCTGTAGTCTAACTCAGTTGTGATATATTTTAAGTCCTCCAGGAGTGCATTCCTAAACTATACTCTGAAGAAGTGAAATATATAGTTTAAGGACCAAAACATAAGCAGCACTACCAGCCGACCAGTGCAATGGCTCCTCGAGGCATGCCTAACAGATTGAGGAGATCGCAGAGCATCCTCTCCGAGCCCACCTAGTGCCATGGGGAAGGTTCTCATCTGCCGGCCTGGGCCAGGACATGTAGCAAGAGGTCCTGTGGGTTCGGGGAATTAGGTTGTCCAACTATTAGGGAAACAACCCAAAATCGATGTCTCTTTTGTTCACTCCTGGAGCAATACAATCTGCAGGAAGCTTACCAAAGACATGGAATCCCAGAGTGCAGGTGTAGGTGGCCCATTCGATGTCTCTTGTGGCTTCCACGCTCACGACTTGCTTACATGCCGAGGGAACCCCTGAGAAGAGCAAACAGCCTGGTGACATCCATGTGCAGACCTCGAGCACTCCCCAGGGTGGGGCAGGCCTGAGTCCTTGGAGCTGCAGCAGAGAAACCCTGTGGGAACTGCCGCATGGCTGTCAGCAGGCCATGGGACTGAGCCTGCATCAGGGCTTCAGTGAAGAGCATATCTTTTTTCTCTTCCTGTCTCCCAAGTCTGTAAACCATAGAATGGTTTCTCCTGTCTACAGCTGGCTCTGGTCCTCGGGCTTCCCTCCTTGATGTCTTCACTGCAGGTCTGGAAACTTACCCTGCCTCTGTGGTGGAGCTGTCCCCACCCAGTCCCTCAGCCTCAAGCAGGACACAGCAGTGTATGAAAGCCAATACCACCCAGTGCCTGAAGCCCCCAGGAGTTCATACAGATGGTATAGGAGGCTGTGCACGAGCAGGCTCTGCCCCACTGACCATTCCTTATAACTGTCACCTACTCCTGAGCCCCCAGCAGGACCCAGACAGGAAGGAGAAGGACACCAGGTTGCTGGGAGATACTGAAGCTGGAAATTGGTCAAATGTGTAGAGTAGGAGCCTAAAGTCAAGCTACCTCAGTCCTGAGAAAAGCATCCTGCCTGGTTAATGTCAGCTGTTGGTCACTGGGCAACCTTGTGTCACCTGATACTAATATAGGATACAGGTTCCTCATTGTATAATCAAACTTCAATTACAAAAACAAAAGGGGCAATTAATATCTCCAACTTCATTTGCCAATATATACTATTAAATTTTTAAAAATTTTACAAAAGATGGAAGCACAGCAATGGATAACTCAAGAAGGTAAAACAGGGCTGGGGAGATAGTCTGTGGTCTAAGTGCCTGCTTGGCAAGTGTGAAGACCCAATTCGATCCCCAGTACCGCATGCTGTGCCATCCCAGAACCCCGGGTACACGGTGCCAGCCCCAAAGCTGGGCGTGATGGCTCACACCTGTAATCCCAGTGCTGGGGAGGCTGAGATAGGAGACTCTCCAAGAGTCTGGACTGTGTAGGAGTCCCTGTATCAGATAAATAAATAAATATTTTTTTAAAAGAGGGTAAAGCAAAGAAATGTTCATTTGGGGTAGAGGATATGCCTGTGCTTTCCAGAGTGAGCTGTTATCAAGCTGTATCATGAAGCCAGATCTGGAGAAGTTAGCAGTGAAGAGGTTAGAGTCACCCTGGAACCTACTGAAGGAGCTGACAAAATGGAGATCTAAGGTATAAATCCATGATAGAGTATATGGAGATTACTGAGCTGAAAATATTAAGATAAAACAAAATACACGTATTAATTATAGATAAAAGATTCTATTCCTTCCAAAGTTTTCTGATAAGAGATCTTTGCTAATTGACAACAAAATCTGACTAGTCTATTCATAATTATAAAGTTCTAAAAATTGTAATAGAGTTACTATAGCTCAATTTGGTCAAGAATATATTTGAGTGTACAACTTTATGGGTCGTGGAGGAAACTTTGGAGGTGGTGGAGGGAATTTTGGCCGTGGTGGAAACTTTGGTGGAAGAGGAGGTTATGGTGGTGGAGGAGGTGGCAGCAGAGGTAGTTATGGAAGAGGTGATGGTGGATATAATGGATTTGGAGCTGATGGTGGAAACTATGGTGGTGGTCCTGGTTACAGTAGTAGAGGAGGGCATGGTGGTCGTGGACCAGGATATGGAAACCAAGGTGGTAGATATGGTGCTGGTGGAGGAGGATGTGATGGTTACAATGGAGGAGGAAATTTTGGTGGTGGTAAACTATGGTGGTGGTGGGAACTGTAGTGATTTTGGAAATTATAGTGGACAGCAACAGTCAAATTAAGGACCTATGAAGGGGGGCAGTTTTGGTGGAAGAAGCTCTGGCAGTCCCTATGGTGGTGGTTATGGATCTGGTGGTACATATGGTACCAGAAGGTTTTAAAAAATAACAGAAAACGACTACAGTTCTTAGCAGGAGAGAGAGCGAGGAGTTGTCAGGAAAGCTGCAGGTTACTCTGAGACAGTCGTCCCAAATGCATTAGAGGAACTGTAAAAATCTGCACAGAAGGAACGATGATCCATAGTCAGAAAAGTTACTGCAGCCTAAACAGGAAACACTTCTGGTTCAGGACTGTCATAGCCACAGTTTGCAAAAAGTGCAGCTATTGATTAATGCAATGTAGTATCAATTAGATGTACATTCCTGAGGTCTTTTATCTGTTGCAGCTTTGTCTTTTTCTTTCTTTTCATTACATCAGCTATATTGCCCTGTACATTGTGGTAGTGGTACCAGCAATAAAAAATTAAGGAATTTTTAACTTTTTTAAAAAAAGAATATATTTGAGTGCAGTCTGCTTTTATAAAGATGTTTGCTTGTGTGTTCTGTATAGTTGTTTCACATGTTTGTGTCATTCCATGAACAGCCGTTCCACTTTTCATTTGAGCTTTGGAATGTAGACATAAAAGCATGCTTTCTCCTGAGTTACCAGCTGGTCTAAGAGATATCAAAATTGGTTTACTCACAGGTCATCAAAAAATTTAAGATAATTAACAACAATTACTCAGAGTAAGGAGAGATTATTGGATAGCACTCCAGTTGGTGGATAGAGGGGTGGTCAACTTTTTAATTACTAAGGAGCCCCCAATAATCTCCATAGTCTCTTGGAAGACATCCTCAATAATTTGGTCATTGATTAAAAGGTAAGTTTTTCAGAAAAAATTAAAACAAGGTTTTCTTGCTCTTGGTATAAAACTAAATTAAGAAACAAAGGTTTCAACATGAGCATGATAATTCTTTATTGTTAATCTCGTGGTGTATTAAATATATTCATGATTCTACAATGGAGTTTCGTTTTCTGCTTTTTGCAGTACTGGGGATTGAACTTGCGCCTCACATTTGCCAAGCAGGCACTTACACTGAGCTATATCCCCAGCTCACGATGCTAGATATGCACGTCTCCAAAATGTAAAACCAAGATTGCTCATTGTGATGACATTTTTTTCAGATTCAGATCTCTGCCTTTAACAAAAACTTGTGATGTATATCCTACTAAAGAATGATAAATCAGGTAAAAATCCTTTTATGTATTAACAGAGATGATTGGTTAAAAGACTTAACTCAAAATGAAAACTTAAATATGTCACAAAATGTCATCAGGATTGTCATGCTGCAATGTTATATATCATTTTGATTTGTAAATTTCTATGTAAAAATACATAATTGTTGTCTGTTAACATTCTATATAGATTTTTTTCTATACAGATTTGAATATTAGAATATCCATGGTTGTTAAAATAATAACAGTTCCATTTTACGTCTGTAGTGTCTGATACTCAGATAAGATGGTAATGTTAAGCTTACTGCCTCCATTGCAGGGTAATGTCATTGAGCTTTTCTTCTGGATGTTTAACAAATGAAGTTTGGAGGCCAAAAATTAGAGAGGTAGTTGGGCTAAGAGACCAGCCAATATCTTGGCCCTCGCCCTCTATAGCTAAGGAGGACTTAGACAGAAGAGAACCTCTGCTGTGACAGCCTGTAACTCAGCTGAGTCCCTGATTTTCTGATCAAAGAGATTATGGGGCCACAGAGGAACCTTATCAGTGATGCATAGTGTGCCTAAGGAGAGTCCCCTGGAGAGAAAAAAGAATCTCTTAAACTTTCACAGAGAGCCAACTGGTCAAGCAATGGCCGTGACTCATCCAGATGGCTGACAGTGACAAAAGATCTGAGTGGAGCTATACGTGGTGCCAAGGTAAGACCTGAGAAGGCGTAAATGACCTTGTTAGCAAAAAGTTATTTCTTTATTTACACAGGCCTAATTTTAACTTGGTCTCAAACATCCAGCAGAGAAGTGTAACCACAAGATGGGAAAAGTCATGCCATCATAATATGGTAAGCTGTGGAAGGTTCAAATCACTAACAACTGCTGGCAGTTTCCAGCTGTACTTACAACTCACTATTGTTATGGACTACCGCACTCCATAGGCTTACATTGCTGAACACAAACGCCAAAAGCCTTTGGACTGGTATCAAGAATGAAAAGGTCTTCTAAAGAGCTCTCCAAGCACAGCCTTTGTGACAGAGCACCCACCATTCACACAACAAGACAAAAAAGAGAGACGCTGGTAGCCACTGAAGCTGGAAAGTGGTCAAATGTGCTAGGGCAGAACTAGGCCTCAGTGCCTCAAGCGGTCAAGCTACCTCAGTCCTGAGAAAAGCATCCTGCCTGGTTGATGTCAGATGTTAGTCACTAGGAAACCTTGTCTCACACAGTGCTAACTTTACGAAGGTATAAATAAACACTCTACTGTTATTCAGGGTCATTTGCCAATCAGGCAACGGGCCACCACCTGACCCAGCTCTTGTCTTCTTGCCTATCTTTTCCTCATTCCTGCTGCCATTTCTCCCCGGCTACACCAAGAGACCAAAGGGCCCTACACCAGGTGGCCTCCAGAAGGGTGTCCTGCTTCCTTTCCCCTGCCTGGCTGGGTCCTCAGCAAGCAGGCCGCGCAGCCGAGGAAGTCTGCCTTCCTCCTGCACTGGCTTTCTGCCAGGGCCTGGTATCAGAGCCTTATCTGTAAAAGGGAGAAGAACCAGGAAGTTCAGTGGATCATGAGAAAGTGCAGGTGAATGACACCAAATTCTCTACCAACTTCTGGTGGGATGCAGAGCAGGCCTTTCTCATGCTTGTGACGCCTCTGCTTAGCCCAGAGCCAGGCCTGAGCAGGTGTTGACGAATCAGTGCTTGGCGCGTCCTCTATACGCAGGAAGTGCCACCGTTATCACCCTCTCCGTCTCCAGATCTGCCTGGGCACAGAGTGCCAGGGGAGGCTGGGCGAGGAGGCGGAGGAGGCTGCTGTCCACGCAGGGCTGCTCTCGCCTCACATCTGCTGCTGCGGCCTCCCCTTGTCCTCCGTGCAGGCCCTGCATCCACTCCTCCAAGGGCCTGTCTGTATCTCAGGGCCAGAAAGACCCAAGAGGTGATGCAGCCAGCTTCTCCGTCTTACTCGGGAGGAAGCTGAGGCCAGAGACGACGCCATGTGCCTGAGTCCTATGGAGGCCCATGTTGTGTGGCTGGGACCTGGGGACTCCTGGCTATACTCACAGTAGAGGATCTCGTAGTCTCCGGAATTGGACACAAGGAACTGTGAGTCTAGGGACCAGTCCAGGTGGCTGATGAAGCTGGAGTGGCCCTGCGGGGGAGAGAGTCGCCTGAGGCTCTGTGCTGACGTGAGCAACAACCGACATGCCCACACAACGCTGTGAGACACTCACCGAGCACTTGCCCATGCGCGTGTACTTCCTCCCGTTGTCGCCAACTCCATAGATGTAGATGCAGTTGTCATGAGAACCAATGGCTAAGAAATTCCCGTCTGCAGAAAGAGGATAAGTTATATCTTAATGTTCATTGATTTTTAAAAATCTTTTTTATTTATTTGGTACAGGGTCTCGCTATGCAGTGAGGACTCATAGTGATCCTCTTGTCTCAGCCTCCCCAGCGCTGCGGTTCAGGCATGTGCCATCACACCCGGTTTCCGTGGCCAGCGAGATGCACCCAGGATTCTGGGGCTGGCACAGCATATGGTACTGGGGAATGAAGCTGGGTCCTTGCATTTGCCAGCAGGCCCTTACAGTGCTGACCTAGTGCCCCAGCCCTACATCTTCAATGTTAAGGGACACATTTTATTCATGACAATGGAAGCTGATAGCTGCCACCACACATGTAGACAGAATGCCAGACTGATGAATTGTTTCAAAGAAAAACCTGCTTTCCACTGTGTCCCATACCAATTCTGAAAAACATACATCTGATAGGATTATAAAGTCTGGTAACAACTTTTATGATTTGCTGTGAACTTTAAAAAAATACAATTCCATATGCTCTGACAGCACTGTTCCCTGTCTCCCCCTCATAGCGCTCGGGACAGAGAGAGACTCAGTTCCTGGCCGGGCTGGCTGTCCAGCCTCTTCCCAAGGGCCAGCTGTGCATGTTTCTTCGCCTGGGTCTGGTACCAGGAAGGCCAAGCAAGTAAGGAGCTCACTGTGACCAGCACTGAGCCAGCCATGTAGGCACAAAGGAAGGTGCAGGCTCCGGGAGGGCTGGGGGGAGCCCTGACCTGGAAGATGCCAGCCTTTCTCCCTCCTGAGCAGGGGTGAGAGAAGCACACAGGAAGCACCATGAGGTGGTGGCAAGGGGCAGCAGGGCTCCCCCAAGCTCGCTGTCTAGGGACACGACGCTGGACATCAGTGCTGACCCTGGTGCGCAGAGCCCTGCCCCTGGCACAGGAATTCAGATGGAAGTGCCTATAAAATACCTCCCAGGGTCTGGCAGAAGCAATGCTCCTGTGAGGTCCCCTCTTCAGCTTGCCCCTGGGTCTCCCTCTGCAAGAGACAGTGAGGCCTGGGGTCCTCAGGAAATGGGGTTTCAGAAGGTGCTCCACTCACAGGGCTTGGACCGAATGATTTCTGTTACGTCCGAGAGAAGCACTATACATCCAGTAGACAGCAGGGGTGCAATGTGATTCTGACCTTTTCCAGGGCTAATGAGATGCAGTCTATCCTCTCTCAGGTCCCAGTCAGTCCCTCTGCCATGCAGGCAAAGCCAGCCCTCTGCTTTGTGAGACTGTGTCGTAGGCTGGGGGTCTGAGACTTAGCTTCCACCTAATGGTGTTTTCAGTACTCAGGTTTATCAGGACTCCATCTAAGCCAAGATCTGCATATAAAACTGAAAGTCTGCCTAATAAATATGAACCAACTAACTTCTCTGGCATTCTCTTTCCAGCATGCCCTGGTGCACGGCAGACCCTTAGAACCTCATCCCCCAGCACTTGGAGGCCATGACAGCCTTAGACAGACCTCCAGAAACAAGTGGATGTTTGGGGGGAGCAGGCATCCAGGTGCTTGCAGGAGCTGGTGCTCAGGTGTTTTCCACTGACTCTACCCTTTCCAGGCTTGGGGCTGGGGACCATCCCATGTCTGGTCACATAGAGCACTACAGCAGGGAACAGGTGCTGCAGCCTGCCCCAGGGACATTGCCAGGTGAGCTGCCCTGTGGGAAGGACATGAGCTGCGTGCCTTCACCAGCTGAGAGAGACAGGAGAGCTGTGGTGGCAGGCAGGTCTCCGAGGCCACCTGACAAGCACTGTGCCCCTCATGCTGTGAGTGGCACTGGGATTTGTAGTTGAGGTGGTGGCATCTGTCCTATGTGTAGGGGACACCATGTGGCAGGTAGAGCAGGTGAGTGGCAGGTGCCGAATCCTGGCAGGTCTCAGACACAGGCAGAGGAGGTGGATTTGATGCTGGACATTACATAGGGATGAGCATCAGATTCTGATTCTCTCCAGTAAAAGCAGAAAAGCCACATCTCAACCTGGTGGGTAAGAGGACAGAACACAGACGCAACTGCAGGATGATGGCTCTTGGCCTGTCTTCTTCCCACATTCAGTGTCATGTTCCTGTTTCAATGACTGGCACCAGAAGCAGCAGGCTAGGTATGTGCAGCAGGGTTAGTGCACACCTAAGGATGTACTTCCTGGTTCTGTTCTCTTTAAGAAACATTGAAATTTTAATCCAACCTAAGCCCCGTTTTGTCTAGTCTATAAGCTTTCTGATATGGCTATCAAGTATGAAAATTGTCACAAGTGCACTTGTCATTTTGCCAACCACTGTAGTTGACTATGGTTTCAAAAATAACAGTAGTTTATTAGCATAAGACTCTTAGGCAAAATAGTTCGTAAGTGAAGAAGTTGGCAAAACGTGAATGAAATGGGTATTAGCACCTGTTCATTGCTCGGACAGAATACCTGACACCCACAACCTAAGGAGAAGTTTGCATTGGCTCACACTTCCAAACATAGTTGGGGCTCCAAGGCTCAATGCCATGGCACAAGGTCATGGCCAAAGAGAGCTGCTCACAGCATGGGGGGTAGGAAGCACAGAGTCAAGGGAGGAGCCAGGAAGGGGGAACAAACCCCTCCAGGCCACGCCCACAGTGGCTCAGTGCAAGCCCTGAGTGCCCCAATTCTGCGCACATATCGTTGAGATTTCACTCAGAGGATGGGGATGCTGCTAGCCCCTTTGGGACTTGTGCAGGCGAGGCCTTCTAACCTGGGGAGTAGCGCATGACAGACAGTTGCTCGTTCCCATCCGTGTGCACCGTGACCAGGTCTTTAGTTTCCGTGTCAAACACAAACCACCTGTGGTAAACACGAGAAAGAGCGCAGTGAGCCGCTGAGTGGGCAGGAAATGAGCCTAGTGCTGTCATGAGCGAGGGGCTGGAAGGGCGCTCCGGGGACACCTAGCGAGGAAGCGAGTTTCCTTAGTACAAACACTTCCTAAGAAAAGAGCAGCACCTGCCTGCCATTTGGAGCTGCTCAGTGGTCTCTCAGCAAGTGTTTTGTTATTTTCACGAGGAGGGAGAAAGTCCAGGGCATGAGGCTGCCAACTGAGACCCTGGCTGGGCTGTCCTGGCCGGGCTGCAGAGAAAGGGTGCTGGCTGGGACACTGGCACTACTGGCTGAGCATCTGCAGCATCTGGGAAAGCTGGTAAGCAGCCAACGGGGTGGACGGATGGACAAGGAGCTTGGCGGGAAGGTGACAGGCAGGCCGGCCTCTGACCATCACAGCTGGCACCGAGGGTCGGAGGCCAAGTCTCCTGTGGAGGCTCTCTTCACCCCAGGGTGGGTGTGGATGTGCTCATGTCCCTGATGTGGTGTCCTGGAAGCACCCGCCCTGCCACTATGCAAAGGCACCAACAGCAGGGAGGGGTTAGGTTACTGGTGTGGCCTTGCACACCCTCAGGATGAAGTCTGGGGCCCTGGGCATCGTCACCACCACGTGCACAGATGGCAGGTGTCTGTGGGCCTGGCTGTCACGAAGCCCCCAGAGGTGCAGCACTCACTTTGGGTATGTTTGGCGTCTGAGTGACAGAACTCCTGGGTGGCAGCACTATGTGGATCCCAGGGTCTTTAGGGACAGAAGGGACACAGGCCTGTTGCTGTGATTTCAGACCTGGACAGCATGAGGGCCACCTGCATGGCCACTATAGTGTCCTGTCTGCTTGCCTCCCCTTCTGGCTCCACCTCCTGGGTTGGGATGTTGCTTCTCAGTTCTGATTCCCGCCCTTTGGCAATGGTTCACCCTTCATGTGTAATCTGAGTAGAATCAAGACCCAAGCACAACAGATAGGGCTGCCCTTGCCATGCCCTGTGAAAGGGACAGTGCTGGGAGCACCTGCCCTGTGACCACAATGCAGAGGCCCTAACAGAAAGTCACCAGTTCTGTCCCGTGCACCCTTAAGACGTGACTTGGGATCCTGTGGACTGTCACCACCACATGTACAGCAGGCAGTTATCTGTCTGTCGGCCTGGCTCTTGTCCAGATCCCAAAGGGTAGAGCTCACAAGTTCTAGGCTTCCACTGTCTCCAGGAGAGCTGAGTGGAAGGCGAGGAGTGCCTGTGGAGTGTGTATGGTGCGTGTGGTGTGTGTGGAGTGCATGTGGTGTATGTGGTGTGTGTGGCGTGTATGCGGTATGCATGGAGTGCATGTGGTCTGCATGTGGTGTGTGTGGAGTGTGTGCAGAGTGTATGTGGAGTGTGTGTGCAGTGTGTATGGAGTGTATGTGGAGTATGTGTGGAGTGCATGTGGA